AATGATAATTTTCACCGTGTAGTTGAAAAATTTGAGGACCTTTCCCTTTTTTTACTGGATGGTCTATCTTCCCTCCACTAGAAGTAAAAGAAAACATCATATTGTATGCCCGGAGGTTGCCACGGAAATGGCGACAAATTTCATCGTCATTGATGAATAAATAAAGTAACAAAGGAGGAGACTGTTCCAGTAGAGGAAGCTTAACTTTTCCTTGCAAACAGCATGTAGCAAAGACTAATTTCTTAGACTTCTGTTTTTTACCAATCCTCTCCTTAAACCACATACATGCAGAGCAATGTTTGCATGTGAATACTGGATCTCCATCATCATAATACCCTGTTTTCTATAACAAATATATTAAGTTGTATCATATACATATTTGAATTGAAAACAATTGATTGAAAATGTAAAATCTTGCCATTACTCTGTAGTGATGGACCATTTAAAGAAGATAAATCATTTAATGTATCACTGACTGTAGTAAGGGATTCATCATCAGATTCAACTTCAGAATCATGGTCATCATAATAAGATTCTGAAACTGATTGTGAGTCAGTATCGTAGTCTGTTAAGCTTGGGTCTGATTATGAAAAGTGGAAGTTCAGTTAGAGAGGATCATATTGAAGATATTATAACAAAATGACTTTTTCGTAAGAAACAATCATTGCATTACATGTATTTTCATTTTGACAATATTGTTGGGATGAATCTTTAGATGAGTCATTAACATTTGGATTGAATGTTAGTAAGCCTATATGAAAATATTATATATAATATTAATGTAATATCTTGAGGTTAATTTCTCAGGTTATGGCTAATAATATGAGAACAAATGATTCTTACTTGAACAACTTGCAGGTGTGTCTGGTATTGTTGGACTCATGGCAGCAGATGATCGATGGCGAACTGGATTAATGGCATTAATATAAGTGGTAAGTGAAATTTTAAATGGTAGTTCTGATAACATAATATTAGTATGTTTGTGTAGTTATCTTTTCTGAAATAATATCTGATATTTGAGTAATACTATTATTATTAGCTAATAACAGTCGCTTTTGATGGATCCTTGCATTTCTAGGAGTCTCAATGATGTTATTTGTTATGTCACTGAGAGGGAAACATTCTTCCTGAGTGAATCCGGCTTTAGATTTGCCTTTGAAAGAACTTTGGTTGGTGAGACTGAGGTTTTCACCTGTTTATAACGGACTTAGGTATTAAAACTTAAAAACAATTTCAAACTCTTTGAGCATATATGCCGAAAATGTAAAATAAACTTACAGGTTTGTTTGCCTTTAGTAGGTCTTAGTTTTTTTGATGAAGAACTTGAAATGTTTGAAGTGCCAACACCTGAATGTATGTACATTTTAGTTGTTTAGTAATATATAATGCTTGGAAAGAAATAGGAAATGATTATTATATAACAAATATAAAATAGAGACTGTACCTTTCAATGAAGATGTAACTTGAGCATTTTCCATTGAATTTTTAACTTTATCAATAGCTGAATTCAACCATGATTGAACTTAACACATATAGATTATATGAAAGAAAGACACAATGAATATTATAGCAATATATAAATAATCTAGTGTGATAAAAATACAAATACTTGAAAAGGATACGTGATGACTCAATCTGATGACACGTTTGTAAAGAAGACTTCTTATTACTTCGATTTGCTGAGATGAGTATTGTTTATCATGTTATAGAGAATATAAGATTATCAGAATAATGAGAATTAAATAATGAAATGTTTGACTAAGATGTTACGTGCAGGACTACCTCTGGTGCTAACATTACAATATGGAGAAGCTCCGGATGTAGCAGGTGAGTTTACTATATTTGAAGGTTGAACCTGATTTTCTTTGTCTCCATGAACTGTGTACATGATAAATTACAAAATATTTAATATGTGCATTTAAAACACAGCAATGTAATTATTTACCAAAAAAATTATTAGGTACTAATAGCAAAGATTCTCGAATACTTGTTAGACGATGATTTCTAGTAGTGGAGTTTTTCAGGGTTGGAACAGGGACAGAGTTTGTATTATCACGCAATATTGACCTATAAGCAAGACGATTAGAATTTTCGATACTCCTGTCAGTCCCTTGAAAAAAAAAATCATAAAACAACAACTTAAACATAAGTATATTAAGATCATTATAGAATTAACTGAAATTATCGAGAAACTTACACTCATTTATTGACTGTGTTCAAGGTCTTTTCGGTAATCTGTTAAGATCATTATGTGGTAACTGATCACCTGATTGTTTTTTCTTCATCTTATTTACCAGCACGAAAATGTGTTGCAAAAGATCTGTATGAGTGAAGTTTTGTGCTTAATCCGCAAAAAGATATTGAATTGACTAAGCTATAGTAGATTTTCAAATATTTTAGATGATCAATCTAAGTTTTTTGTTATTTAAGAAGTATAAATGATTAGGTTTAAATTGGTTAATAATATCGAGGATTTTGATTTGGTTGTTATTGAGAAGATTCGATTAGATTATAAAGTGTCATATTACGAAGATATTTCTATATGTATATGTTGTTCAATATAGATGCATCCGTTTTTGAAATATTTTGCTTATCTGTTAAATTTTCTGTTTAGGATAGAAGTTATTATTTGCAAATGTAGTATTATTGTTGGAAGTATTTGAACATCTTATATACTTATGTTAGGAGCTTTCAAAGGAGGACCTACTTTTGAGGACGTCAAAGAAATCTATACTACATCGGCAATTCCATGAAAGGAGTAATAAATGTTAGTATAATATGCTAAACTCCTAATAATTAACTAACTTCCAGATATATAGAATGGTAAACAGAAATTTAATAACTAATCTATTATAAAGTAGATAGTAATATCATAACATTACAACTGAGAATGAAACATTAATTAAAGCCGAGAAAACATAAAATTAAAAAGTAGAAGAAAGGGAAAAATAAAGCCGGTGAAAACATAAGTTGTAATATCACATAGGAAAGACAGTTCAAAAACATTTGTTTCAACAAATAGTTCATCTTATCTCCCTTCTTCATAGCAAAGTCCTTCTAGTCGATCTCAATTAGATTGTTTGGCCTGAAATTCAATTGCAAAAAATATAGATGATAATATCTTATATTATCAATTCAAATGCACATAAATAATGAACAACAAATTAATGGAACTTACATATTTTCTTTGAACTCAAACACCTCTCCAATTTGTAGATCGAAGTAAAACCTAGAAATCCCTCTATCATCAACCAAGTGTGAATTTTCTTTAACAATGATAACAATGTATTAGTTGCTTTATAGATTATATGCTGGTTTGAGTATTTACAAAAATACAAAATTACCTTCAATCGTCATAGGACGCCAATCAGATAAAACACAAACAACATTACTGCTGTTGAGACAGTACCAATGTTGATTAAATTCCTCTGCCAATTTTCCATAGGCCACACATTCAATAGAATCATCCCTGTAAAGAGCAGATAATTAGGATACTAAAAAAATGACTCTATCCACAAATATAAGTTCAAAACAGTAAAGTCTTACTCATTATTCAGAATCCAAAATTTGAGACAGCATATTAGTTTAGGAATATGAGCATCAAATAGGTCATCATGAACCAACTCTAGATTGTCAACAGAGGAGATTTTCCCAACCACATCTATATGACGGTTAACAAATAAATTAGGATAGGTTAAAAGTAAAGAATATATTCATTTAACAACAACATAAGAATAGTGAAAGCGGTAATTACCAACTGGAAGATTTTAGGGCTACTGCATGGTTGAAGATATTGTCAAAGCTTTTGAAATGCAATTGTGATCTTCAGAATCAAATTTAGATCTCTTGATCTCGATGTTCTCCAGAAAATTAATTCCCATGTCTACGACAGTGAATCTTTAATTTCCAGGAACCCTGAAAACCGTAAAGTTGTAGATTATCCTCCAGTATCCTTCCTTCAACTTTTCATTTAAATATGGAAACAACCAAGGCCAATTCATTTTGGCATGAATTTTGTCACCCTGAAAACAAATATTCATGAAGAAAAAATTTATCATCTTAGGTAAAACATAAAAGAGTCAGATCTAATAAATATATATAAAGTGAGAAAAGATCTACTTACACGTTCACCAACCAGAATGAAATGGAGAGTCTCTTCTCCATCACGATCAACGACTCCCCATCTCCTATGAACCTTTACCCGAATAACCCAATCTGATTTTCAAGGATGAAGATCAATAATATGGCTAAACATTGAAGACATAGTTTGCTTTACTGTGAAAATCTTAGTAAATATTATAAATGTTTACTTGGGATGTTATTTTAGATCGCCGCTGAGGTCTTTTATATATAGGTTGGACATCTAGGTTTAGTGGTTCATGAAAATTGAAAAATAAATTAATTAATAAAGAATCATGTGAACTTGTGTAATTGATTTAGTTTTGACCGGTTCTATACGTCAAAGATGGCAAAAGGATATATGGGAAAAGACTGCACGCTGCTTGTTTCAGTTTACCATATCCTACTTTTTTGATGAAAGTAAAACCAATATTTTCTGAAGATTATGATTTGATTTGAGATTTTCTGTTGATATCATTCAAGTATTGATTGAACATGGTGACAAATCTTATCTATTTTTCTTATACAATATCGTATAGGCTTAAGGTGTGCATTATTGGGCTACACATGAAAGAGGTGATACGGATTGTATGAGCAGCCCATATGAAAGCAGCCCATTATTATTCTAAAGGTAACAAACGAAGATAACTATTTGGTTGTTAATTGTTTTAGAGATTAATCAAATCTTAGCAAATACGTTTAATAAAAAAAAGTGGTTATTACTAAAAAAAAGTTACACCAGTTCAAAAAACTTAAAGCGGAAATCAGTTCTGATATGAAAATCAGTACTGAAAAAATATTAAGTGCAGGAAATGATCAAAAAACATTGAATAAAAATGCAGAGAGAAAAACAATAGCCACTTTCACTTTAAAACAGTCCATCACACTTTAACATGGTCCTTCTCTATCTTGATGATCTTCATCATTTGTTCCTCAATTCCTGCTATTTTCCCTTCGTTTCTGACATACTTCTTCTTTGCTACTGACTGCTCATCTGCATGTTCAGAATCTTCTTCATTGTCATTGCTCTTTCGTTTGGAAAGAGTAGTGGTTTCACCTTGATCGCTTTCAAGAAGCAACATTGGGACCTAGTATTATGCAATTAAAAGACATGCCAAACTTAGTAAGCAATCTGATTATAATAAGTAGTCAATCGAAACGTAAATAAGTTTAAGATCATACCTTCTCATCATTTGGCATAAGCAATCTTCCAGCAAACTTAGATTCAGGTGTATTCTGTACAATGGACCATACTATACATATAAGTACAAACTATTCACGTAAAATACCGTATGTATGTAAAAAAATAAAATAAAACCCTTCAAAACCTGCGAGGCCGTAAATTTACTGAACTCCTTCACCATATCACTCTGAGTAATAATCTTGATTACTTTGTAAGCAGGACTATTGAAAACTATATTTGAAGTTTGTATAGCAATCTTGAACAGAAATGTCTTTCGTATTATGTTACTCAATGCTAACGGTAGAACATCAGGATCTTGAACCTGCTAGTAAATGGCAATTCCATTATATTAATTTGAAACTTTTCAAATAAAAGGTATCATTAATAATTAATATCAGTAAACTTGGTACCTCATTGACTGCTTCCGTAAGTTGAGCTGCTGTTTGGTTGACAACTTCTATAGCCTCCTTATCGAAGAGTAGGAACTTAGCTTCACCACTGTCGTCTATAACCCGAAAGGTCAACAACATAAATCTGTTATAGATTATCAGGGATTTTAATAAAATGTTTGATGCATAATTCAGTCAACTTAGGCTGGTATGATATCATCAACATCTTCATTGCACTTTTCACATTTCCATAAGTGTTTAGGAAACTTCCTTCCAGGATACTTCTCTTTTATTGCATCCATGTCATGGGGCAGAACTTTTTTGCCACAGGATCGATGAGACATGTAGTACCATCCAAATTCAGTGTCAATAGACATTATAGTGCACATAGTAACACACTTAGAGACCTGGAATTAAAAATTTAAGATAAGCGAAATATCAAAGCAACAACTTTGTCTCTATCGTAGTTAAAGTTTACCTCAGATGCAGAAATAATATCACTTATTGTTCTGCGAGGACTGTGAAGGAAATAGTCATCTCTCACAGAGATAGTATTGAACACGGTCAACTGATTAGGATGTGTGTAACTTAGAGAAAGACTATCGTTTGGCAGACTACATACTGAAATAGAATTATGCCAAAAAAAAATATCTATAAATATTTTCGATGCAATTGTGAGTTCATGACATAATACCTTTCCCTGAAAGCAACTATCTCCAGGATTTCAGGATTGATCATAACAATGGAAGAACTGTAACAATTACCAACACTCCAAGTACCTGGTTTAATATTATGTATTAGTAAACTAAAAGCATGATATATAACTATAAGAGGGGTAAACAGTTGTATTACCTTGGTAAAGTCTTAATTTTTCAAATCTTAAGACAAATGTAACAATAGCTTCATTACAATTTTGAACAACTCCCTCTAATTCCTCAGCATAATCTCCCCGAAGAACACAATTCAAACGAACATCACTGAAAAATAATGATAAATCATAAGTAGTGAGCGGTGACTTATAACGCAGTAATGTTATATATAGTATGTAATGCTTACGCTAGATCACAGAGACATGGTAAGCCGCTTGGTTTGTTTCTTGTTTACGTTAAGAATTTTAACATCCCTAATGTCCACAATCTGATCAATGACGTCTAAACATAACACATATATAACATTAATTGATTTTACCATGATCTACAATTTCAAACATAACACAAACTATACCCATCATACCTATCAAGAAGTCAGGATTCAGTTTTCCATCATGGATATCACTGAAGTTCACACTTTTCAAACCAATGATATGCGGAGGCAATTCCTCGGAGGGCCTAACGGAAGTAGTTCCTGCAAATTGAATCTTGTAGGGATGAGATGTGGTCCTGAACCTTCCACCATTGTGAGTAACAGTAAAGTTACTGATGATTTTACATTCTCCTTCTTCAATGGAGTTCTCGAATTTTTTAATTAATTCTTTTCTCACAGTAGCATGCATTGTTTCATTCTGCTAATATTTAATAATTAATGAGTACCACAAAGTAGAAGTTAACTTAGATAATAAACATAAGTACAGTACTATACCTTCTCATCAATGAAGACCATTTCCAAAGTTGAGACACCATTCAAAAACTGCTTCCATAGTTTGATAATCTTAACGTGAACTCTCCATTGGGTTTTGAAAGGTTTCAAAGCAGCTAGAGAAGTCATAGAAGCCATGATCTGAGTATTGAAATGTATCGGAAAGCGAAGATGATTCAGAGAGGAATATAGTCTGTATATATAGTGGATCAAGGTAAAGCATATATGTTCGGGTAGAATATATCGACGGGTATAATATAGGAATACATCCATTCTGTTATAATATATATCGGGTAGAATAACAGAAATGTAGAAATAGTTCCTTAAATTTAAGATGTAATTTGCAAGTAATAATATTTCGAATGATTTTGTTGATGAATGTTTGATTCGTTATGTGATTTTCTGAAGATATTAAGCCGATAATTTAACTTTCAACGAATATTCGTTTTCTGAACATCTTAAAATTGTAATATTCGTTTTCTTCTTTTCTTTAACAGGTGAAGAATATGAAGATCAGATTGAATCCGAAATTTCCGTAATATTTAAAAGATATTTGTATGTTGAGATGCAATATATAGCTGCCTCAGATTTTGCTCAAACCGTTTAAATTTTTGAACTGACGATGGTATCCGATAAATTGTGAGGTGGTTTATTTTAAGTGTTTTAGATCCGCGTTCTTTTAATTTGGTAAAGGGTCGGATCTTTTATAAAAAATATCCACTATAGTTGAAAAAAATTTGATTAATAACGATTAAAAATTTATGTAAATGAATTTAAAATTAATGAAAATTATAGTAGAAAAATTCTGGTGCTGACACCTCAGCAAAAATGGCCAGAAATGTTTCTACTTTAATTTATAGTAGATAGATTTAATACAACAAAGTCATATTAATCGATTTTCATACTACTTAACCACAAATAACAGAAAAATTAAACTTAGTAGTGAACATAAAATAGACTGATCTGCCCAACTTTTGCCGCTTGGACTGGGTTGCCAATTAAAACAAATAGTTTTGTTTGAGACCATTACAACGCCTACTCGTCAGCCTATGCAGCATCTAAAGCATTTTTTATTTAACATTGATTGTATTTTAGAAATTGGATAATTCGAATATTTTTTTTAATATCAGACTGTATCAGATATTACCCGGTACCTAATCTATAATTATGAATACTTTCGATTGGATATTTTGAAGGATCCGAATAGATTCGGGTCAAGTATTTTTTGATCAATATCAAATTGGATTTTCAGAATAAAATCTCCATCCTTAATTTTATGTATTGAAAAGATTTAGCATCTTGATTGATTCATGTCTATATTTTTATAAAGAAAGTATTTTGTTTCTCTTGCATTTTTATTATAATTTTAAATGACGTCACAAATCAATTTGTATTTTTAAGAAAAATGAGGCATATTTTTATACCCCTTCCACATTTCAGTCACAATGTTTTTAATTAAAAACTGTTTATATCCAAATTTAGATATTTAAAAATTAAGAATATTATATTTAGACACATAAGTAAAAATAATGAAACTCTTTTGGTTACTAGGTATATAACTCGTGCGTAGTATATAACTCGCGCTAAGCGCATAATATATAATTCGCGCTACCCGCAAGTCTGTATTAATAGTTTGATTTAATTACTTTTTAGCTACTATCTTTTAAATTATTAAAACAATAACATAGTTGTAGAAATTTTCATTTATATAAGAGAATTTAATAAATAATGTGTTATTTTCTCCTATTTTTATTTATAAATTTTTAAAATTATTAGGTAAAATAATAACAATGACACATATCGAATTATCCAACTTTTATGTACATATACATTTGATTTAAAGAAATATTTTATTGCTAAGATTTTGGTATTTTTTCTGTTTTCCATTGAATTTCTATAGTTATTTTTCGTAAAGGTTCATGTGTTCAAATATTTAGTCTTTTTTATTGAAAGTCTTATTGATGTTGTGTACCACTGCATATATAATCCATGATTTATGTCGATTCACATTTAATTTTGTTAGAAAACTGCAATGATCATGCAAAATCATTTCTTCTTTCTCTACCATATCTTCTAAGAGTTTTAGCTTATATTTTTATTCAGTTTTCATTGATATCTATTTGTTTACAGTCTAATATTTGATAATCTTAGTTTTCTAACTTGTAGGATCGGTGGTGTGAAATCTTTGCATTATTGTTTACTTTTTTATCATTTGTGTGCAATATGCATGCTTTGATTTAAATATTTTATCTACATATACCAATTCGAGTTTGATTCATAACTATGTCATACTTTATTATTTACATATAATTTATAATGTGTTATTGATGTTGGTTCAAATATAAGTAGTGGCTATGTATAGAAATCAGATTTTACTACTTGTTAAATATCGAGTGTTTTTCTTTGTTAGTTTTAAAATCAGAAACATATATTTGATTTAGAAACTTATGTAAACCTATTGCAACTTTAGATAGTTCTTCATTGTTGATACTAATACATTAGAAATCATGAAATTTTTGAAACTAATTTTAAATTAATTTGTTTTAATTTTTTTTGTTAATAATTTATATCTTTTGATAGTAATTTTTTATTTATTTTATATAATTTTTATGCTTGATATATTTAGAACTTATAAATTTTTTATTAAGCTCTTTTGTTCTTGATTTTCCAAATAGGTATCATAGACATCACATTAATTTATTCTATACAAATGCCTTTTCTTTGTTAATTTTATTTTTTATATTAGTTTTAATTCTAGTTATAATGTTTATTTGATATGCTCTAACTGGTGAATTTAAATCTTTGATGGAATTTTCTCAAAAGCTTATAACATAATTTGTTTATTTTCGTTAAGTTTTTTTTATAATGATTTTCAAAAATTTTAGCCCATGTTAGTTTTGTTTTATACGACTTTTTCTTTTGTTAATTTGCCTCTTTTGATAATGATTCCTATTTTATTTTGAAACATAAATTTATAACATGTTGAAAGCTAAAAAAGCTTTTAATAAAAACATGTTTATTTTCTCATCATATCATAATAGCTTTAAAACAGTTAGGTTTCATATCTAAAAACACAATAGGAAATTAAAGTATAGTGAAGTATATGCATGTGAGCGTACTTACCATGTCAAATAGCAAATATAGTCAGTAGTTGCTTCAATATTTTTATCGGAAAAAACCGGGTGGAAGAAGTGGATTTTAAAAATAATAATTTCTACATGATGCAATTTAAAGTATGGTGTTAAGAGTTAAATAAATTTTATCATCCAATTTATTTCAGATTCATTGTATTTTCATAAAGAATAGTAAAAAAATGGTAATTATAATGTTGGGAGAATTGCTGAATATGACTCAAAACTTGAGCTGAAATGCAAAATTAGACCCTCTATTGCATGTTTGACAAAAATAACTCACAGGGATAGTAAAATTACAACCTTAACCCTTATTATCAAACAAAAAAACACCAGCCTCAATTACTGTTTTATCCTAAAGAAGTCTACTCGAGAAGTTAAGTAGACTTCTCGAGTAGAATTTTTGGAGAAGTCTACTCTCTAATAATATGTTTACAATTAATTTTAAAAATCATAAAAAATAATTTGATAAAAAAATTAGATACATAACACAAATATATACTTTTTACACCTATTAAAAGTAAAATTTGACACAAAATAATCAATTTAAATCATCATAGATAAATTAGGATAAATATCAATACTGAGTAGACTTCTCAGATAGACTTCTCGGTTTCTCGAATAGACTTCTCGAGTAGACTTCTGGAGAAGTCTACTCTCTAATAATTTCTTTACCATTAATTAAAAAAATCATGAAAAATAATTTGGTAAAACAATTAAGTACATAACAAAAACATATATTTTTACACCCATTAAAAATAAAATTTTATACAAAATATTCAATTTAAATCATCAAAGATAAATTAGGTTAGAAATCAATACTAAGTAGACTTCTTGAGTAGACTTCTCGAGTAGACTTCTCCAAAAAGTCTACTTAAACAAATTTTTTTCTACATATATAAGGAGAGTTTAACCTAATTGTATTAACAATAAAGTCTCTCTATCTAAAAAAACGTCTCTCTCTCTTCTCCCTTCTCTCTGGCCATGAATTGCTTCTCCTTCCTCTCTTGCTGTCAATATCCTCTCCATCCTCTCTATCTTGCATTCAACCTCCTTTCACTTGTAGGTTATGGTAGTGGTAAGAAAATCTGAGCTTTTGTGTTCCTCTTTTTGTTTGCTTTGTGTTTATATTGCAAATCTGAGCTTATTATTATAGATTTGAGCTTATTGTTGTAGATCTAAGTTTATTTTTGTAGATATGAGTTTATTATTGTAAAAATTTTGTAGATTTTATTGTAGATCTGAATTTTGTTGCAGATCTAAATTTTTTGTTATTGTTGCAGAGCTGAATTTGTTGATATTTTTGCCGATCTGAATGTTATATATATAGTATATTATTATTATAAATCCGAACTTATTATTATAGATTTGAGCTTATTGTTGTAGATCTAAGTTTATTTTTGTAGATCTGAGTTTATTGCTGTATAAATTTTGTAGATTTTGTTGTAGATCTGAATTTTGTTGCAAATCTAAATTTTTTGTTATTGTTGCAGAGCTGAATTTTGTTGATTTTTTGCAGATCTCAATGTTATAATATAGTAGATTATGTTGCAAATCTAAATTTTAACATTTCTCTTTTCTTATTGTTGCAGATCCGACTTAATTTATATTTATGGTTTTGTTCTACAAATCTCAACAAATCTCTTGCTTGTCTCCGCCGGATTTAAGTGATTTGAAGGTTCAAAACGTTTAGAATTCTCGAGTAGACTTCTCGAATATACTTCTCAAGTAGACTTCTCAAGCAGACTTCTTGAGCAGACTTCTCGAGCATACTTCTTGAGTAGAC